GTATGAAAAAAAAATTTTACATACTGAAATATTAATTTTAATGCAATAGAATAATTACAATAACAATAAAATAATTGACACTTACCTTTAATGAAGATCTGGTGATGATTGATGGGATGGAGAAGGGGAAGGTGTTAGTGTTTAGAAGGGGAATACCCCCTTCCATTAGGACTTGAGGTACAAGTTCCTTTTCCGGGGTTACTTCCCTCATCTTTTAAATGCCACTAGACCTGCTTGAGAGTCACTTGACCTCTGTCGCACAACAAATCTGTCCATATAATCCTCTGTACCGTTTCCTGTTCCTTTACGATTTGTCTAAAATGGCCACAACATTGTCATTGTAATAGTCACCAGCACAGCTTGCAATAGCTGTGTTAGGGTGATTTTCATCCAAAAAGGGTTTTGCACTTCAACCCACTGTGCACACATTTCCTTAATTTTTGAAGTAGGCACAATGGAATTCCACAACTGGCATAGGCTTCTCAGGGTAGCCCCAAACCCTTCAAAATCTTTCTTAATTTCCATACTAATTCCCTCACCCTTTTACCACAGGGTTGGCACTAGAAGCTTTCTTGGGGCCCATGGTGACTTATTTTGCAGAAACAAGCACCAAAAACAGTGATAATATGGATAATATGGAATGTACCGAATGTATCCTAGATGCGCACAACACTGGATGGCTTGTAAACACTGGCACAAAAGGGGGCAGTTCAGGCCACACTGGACACGTCTCGTACGAATCGTATCGAAAAACTGGTTTTTCAGTCGAATACCGAGGAAAATTTTTTTTGCGATTTTAATGCATCAATGCCGGATTTATCGAATCCCCGATGCCATCGAATACCAGGGGTCTACTGTACAGGGCCTTAAGCCATCCACCAACAACAAAATACCTTTTATCATGGGACTTCTAGAGGAGTCTAATGCAATGTTTGCACCCTTTCACAGAGACCACACAAAAGACACTTTGACAGTGAAATATGGAAAAGTGGTTACAACCTTTTTAGATGTGACAGAAAGAACAGGAAACAAGGGGGGGTTGGCCTGTATGTAAAAAGAGTCCCTCATCGAAATGGAGTTGCTGAACACCCAAATGACTACCTCACTGGCAACTACCCGAACACACTGTTCCTAGCTCCGACTAACCCATACGAAGTCTCCCTTATTATCAACGCACTAAAAAACAAGGCAGGAGATTTAAATACCTTACCACCCTTTATATACAAAAAAGTGTCACAATGCTATAAACCAATTTCATTGCAACACTCTTTAAAAAATCCTTTGAATCCTCCACCTTCCCTACAGTTCTGAAAATAGCAAGGGTCACCCCCGATCCATAAAGGAGGAGACCAAACAGAGTTGAATAACTATGGGCCAATATCCGACTTACACCCTCTCTCAAAAATCTTCAAAAAATTAATTCAAAATGAATCTACTCCTACCTCATCTCCAAAACATACTCAACTCCTGCCAATTTGGATTCAGGCCTAATAAAAATACTAATGATGCTATTATACACATGCTAGAAACATATTTTACACTGCAATAGAGAAAAAAGAAGTCCCACTGGGATCTTCATTGACTTACGTAAAGCTTTGATACAGTTGACCATGACTTGCTCCACATAAAATTGTCGCACTATTTGGGATAAGAAGGGCACTCCCTCAACTACCTCAAGTCATACCTCAGCAACAGAAGTCAATATGTGTACGCAAATGGGGCAAACTCTTCCCCCACAAACCAATTACAGTTGGTGTCCCACAGGGAATGTCCTTGGCCCTCTTCTCTTTCTCCTATACATAAATGACCTACCAAATGCTTTTGCAATTACTCAAACCCACACTATTTGCAGATGACACTACAACGTCTTCTCTCACCCGAGCCCAGTCACGCTAGCCAATATTTTAAATGCCGAATTACAGAAAAAATCTACCTGGGTGAGGACTAACAAACTTACACTAAACATTGACAAAAAACCTACTTCATTCAGTTTGGTAACAGAGCTACAGAGTCCTCTTAACATAATGATAAAACGGATCACCTATCACAAAGCTAACAGAGGGAAAATTCTTAGGAATCCACCTTGATAATAGACTCAAATTTCATACACATATACAACAAATTTCTAAGAAAATTTCCAAGACCGTAGGGATACTATTGAAGATACGGTACTAAAGTTCCACAGTCAGCCCTCCTGGCCCTATATCACTCTCTTATTTACCCCAAAAATAAGGGCAAATACCACACCCATTATCAGGCTCTACTCAGACAGGGTGGGACTTACACAGATGAAAAACAGAAATGAGTGAAAAAACTGAAATCCCATACGACCTCTGTGTTTTGTGAGCCACTAATCAGTCTGAAGAACCCCCGACCCAAATGATTTCTTCATGAATGACCTCATAACCCATAAATGTATCCAGATTTTCCGACATTTTCCCCCTAACTCCGATAAGACTTCGAAAAAGCCATTGACAACATACCCATGGGACTCAGCCCTGGTCCAGACTCATGAACCTGTAATTTATTAAAGAACTGCAAAGAAACCCCTCAGCATTGCCCTAAGAACACTATGGAGGAAGAACTTGGAACATGGTAAATTCCACAGTTACTTAAAACAACAGATTACCCCTCCATAAAGGGGGGCACAAAGCAAATTTGCTATGAACTATAGACCAATACTCTGACGTCCCACATCCATAAAAATCTTTGAAAGAGTGCTAAGAAGCAGATTGCAAAATCACCTGGATTCCCAAAATCTGCACATCCAAGGAAACAGGGGTTCGGGGCAGGTTGCTCCTGCCTCTCAAACTACTGGATCACAATGATAGGCCTTTGGGATCACTGGAAGAAAATCGAACCAGATTAATATACACAACTTTCCCAAAAAGCGTTTAAACAAAGCGATCAGGGCGAATAGCGCACAAAATACGTGCAAAAGGAATAACGGGGAAAGGGGGAATGGATCTTCAAACTTCCTAACAAAAACAACACAAAGAGAGTGGAAAAGAGTTAAATCGAGGCTGCCTAGGAAAGCTCTGTTCCCCAAGGGACAGTACCGCCCCCCCCATTTTATTCCTTAACCTCATATCAACTAGACAAGATATACATCACAGCACCGATCATCCTTTTCGGGCGATACTAGGATCTCATGAGGCTGTCATCTGCTGGGGTGCGGGAACCCTCCAAAAAATATAAACAAAGTTTTCCATGGGCAACGAAAAAAAATATGATGTTCAATGAGGACAAATTCCAACTACTTCATTATGGAAAACTGGAGGAGATAATAACTAGAATAGAATATACTACAAACTCTGGCCATACAATAGAGTGGAAAAATAATGTAAGGGACCTGGGAGTAGTAATGTCTGAGGATCTCACTTTCAAGGATCACAACAGTGCCACGATCACAAGGATAATGAGAACGTTCAAAACGAGATGCCAAGCCAGTGATGATCCTTTTCAAATCACTTGCTCTCTCTAGGCTGGAATAGTGCTGTACATTAACATCTCTGTTCAAAGCAGGTGAAATTGCAGATCTAGAGAATGTACAGAGAACCTTTACTGCACATATAAGTTCTGTCAAGCACCTTAACTACTGGAAATGCTTGGAAGCACTTGATTTGTACTCGTTGGAACGCAGGAGAGAGAGATATATCATAATCTACACTTTGAAAATCCTGGAAGGAATGGTCCTGAATCTACACAAAGAAATCACTCCCTACGAAAGTAAAAGACTAGGCAGGCGATGCAAATTACTCCCAATTAAAAGTAGGGGCGCCGTTGGTACACTGAGAGAAAACACCATAAGTGTTTGGGACCCAAGACTGTTCAACAGCCTCCCATCAAGCATTAGGGGAATTACCAATAAACCCCTGACTGCCTTCAAGAGAGAGCTGGACAGATACCTAAAGTCAGTGCCGGATCAGCCAGGCTGTGGCTCGTATGTTGCACTGCATACGGCCAGCAGTAACAGCCTGGTTGATCAGGCCCTGATCCACCGGGAGCCTGGTCATGAACCGGGCCGCGGGGGCGTTGATCTCTGGAATAACCTCCAGGTATGTCGTTAAATGAATTCGTCGCTAAGTGAGGAGCATACTATAATAGTAGTGGGTTTGTGTCGACCATCTTTGATATTGTTTTAATGTTACCTTTGCACCATTTCTAACATTTCTGGTATATTTTTAAATGTTTATGTTGTAGTGTACTGTATATTGAAATAAACAGAATAGAGGAAATAGTTCTAATATACGTACATTATTTAGGTATGAATATTGGTCAGAGTGCCCGTCGTAAGTCCGAGGCATTGGTAAACAAGTACATCACTAAGTGAGGAGAGGCTGTACTCCCTAGAATGCAGGTGGGAGAGATACATGATTATGTATCCTTGGAAAGGCCTAGAGGGATTAGTACCAAACTTTCACAAAAATCACTCCCTGTGAGAGCAAAAGACTTGGCAGATTATGCAACATCCCCCAATGAAAACCTGGGGTGCCACTTGCACGGTAAGAGACAACACAATAAGTGTCAGGGGTCCAAGACTGTTCAACTGCCTCCCAGCATACATTAGGAGGAGTACCAATAGACCCCTGGCTGTCTTCAAGAAGGCACTGGACAGGCACCTAAAGTCAGTACCTGACCAGCCGGGCTGTGGTTCGTGCGTCAGGTTGCGTGCAGCCAACACTCACAGCCTGGTTGATCAGGCCCTGATCCACTGTGAGGCCTGGTCACAGACTGGGTTGTGGGGGCATTGACCCCCGAGACCCTCTCCAGGTATGCATACAGTATTAACATATGTCAAACCTAGCATTCAAGCAATCCAAGCCTTACATGTGCATTGTTTATTTGTTTAAATTTTAAATCCTAATGATGTGATATTATACAGTATTAGGATTTCTAACCATTGTAAGCTTGTATTGGAAATAAACTTCATTTTTTCATTTTCATATCTATAGTTATTGACATTTGATTTACGTACTATATATTTTTCTTGAAAACAGAAGTGGTCCTGTCTGGCTTGAGCTCATTATTTCCAGCACTTGGGGCCTGAATGGTGAATGATGCTTCCATTTTATCTGCTGAAATCTTAGGTGAGTATAATACTATATTACACAAATCTGGCATATGTAGTTTACTTATTTATGGTGAGGTTAAACAGACTTTCAGAGTTATAAGTTTTTTTGTCACTGGGAATCCCTTACTTTTTGGGGTTAACTATTGTCAAAACACCTTACTGACTCTGACCTCATTAGTTTTCCCAAAAACCCAAAATTACTGCAACATCTGTGTATCTTTATTGCAGACATTTCACCATCCAGTGGCTTTATCAATACAAATTCAAGGACATGAATGGAAGACAGAAGAACTGTATACAGAAGATGAGTTAATCATTCCCTCAGCCTTGGAGTTGATGTAAAGGGCACCGTAGTCATGAAGACTCTGGCACAGACAAGAAGGCTAGTGCTTATATACTATCGTGAGGTGGAAAGGGACGGGTAGCAGACAAGGGCATAGTTACTAGTAGGCGGGATTCCCCAGTGGAAGTAGGTCATAATTTTCACATTGTCAGTATTGTATGCTATTCATGTACAACCACCAAAATTACTGTACAGAACAATATTTTTTTTATTATTAACACATCGGCTGTTTCCCACCAAGGCAGGGTGGCCCAAAAAAGAAAAACTTCCATCATCATTCACTCCATCACTGTCCAAGCCCCTCACACAAAAAACTCCTATCACCCCCTCCCTCCAATCTTTTCCTAGGCCACAGATTATAACTCTCAAAAATCATTCTATTTCGATCTATCATCTTACATGCCTGAGCTGTTTGATAGGAGTGAAAGGAGACAAATGGTTTTATACTTGACATGCTGTTTTGGAGTGTAGCAAAGTAAACATTTATGAAGGATTCAGGGAAACCGGCAGGCCGGACTTGAGTTTGGGAAAATGGGAAGTACAGTGCCCGCACTCTGAAGGGGGTGTTAAGTTGCAGTTTAAAAACTGTTGTGTAAATACCCTTCTGGCAAGACAGTGATGGAGTGAATGATGGGGAAAGTTTTCTTTTTTCGGGCCACCCTGCCTTTGGGTGGAATCGGCCATGTGTTTAATAAAAAATAATAAAATCTCTACATGTTCAAACCATCTCAATATCCCGTCCTCAGCCCTCTGGATAGTTTTGGTAAATCCCGCACCCTCCTCCTAATCTCCAAACTACGGATTCTCTGCATTATATCCACACCACACATTGCCCTCAGACATGACATCTCCACTGCCTCCAGCCTTCTCCTTGTTGCAACATTCACCACCCATGCCTCACACCCATACAAGAGCATTTGTATAATTATACCTTCATACATTCCCCTCTTTGCTTTCATTGATAAAGTTCTTTGTCTACACAGACTCCTCAGTGCACCACTCACCTTTTTCCCCTCATCAATTATATGATTCACCTCATCTTTAATAGACCCAAAACATATGTACAATAATCTGAAGGCCCATAGGATATAGCATTTTGGGCAAAACTTAGTGTATACAATGGTGCCTCGGGATACGAACTTATTTCGTTCCAGAAGGCTGCTCGAGTGCCGATACCGAACGAATTTATTCCCATAAGGAATAATGTAAATTAGATTAATCCATTTCAAACCCCCAGAAATACACTTACAAAAGCACTTACATAAATACACTTACATAATTGTTTGAGTTTTCAGCTTTTCGTATCCCGAGGTACCACTGTACATGTACTTTACAGTGGACCCCCGGTTAACGATATTTTTTCACTCCAGAAGTATGTTCAGGTGCCAGTACTGACCGAATTTGTTCCCATAAGGAATATTGTGAAGTAGATTAGTCCATTTCAGACCCCCAAACATACACGTACAAACGCACTTACATAAATACACTTACATAATTGGTCGCATTCGGAGGTGATCGTTATGCGGGGGTCCACTGTACTTTAATTTTTTTTTTTAATTTTTAAGGGTAACTTAAAAAGTAACTTCAAAATAAAAGCAATCAGCTGCTTTCTTATGAAAATGAATTTGCAATACAAGAACAGCAAACCTCTGGCCTTGTGATCTAGGGTCTGGTTTTAATGGTTGTTTCTTGTTGACATTTGATAAATCAGAAGGCATGCTAGTGAAACAGAGATGATTTTGGTTGTTTTCAGACCAGAAGTGGTTTCAATTTGGCCTCAGTGTGGCAGAAATATTTGATTTTTGCAATTTTCCTGAGGAATGGTAGATTCCCTGAAGTCTGTTTTATTGGTTTTTACTATATCTGCTTTAATTATTGGAATGGCCCTAAACCATTACCAGTCATCATTCTTAGTTATATTTTATTGGCCAAGAAATATGGTCAAAACTTTGATTTTTTGAGTGATGGATTCAAAATGAAGGGCAAGTGTTATATAGAAGGGGGCCTTGAAAAATGATCAATGAACAAATAAAGTTTAATGTAGTGGCTGGGATACCTACAGTGTTTATTTTGGACTCTAATTTTAAAGTGAAATTTATTGAATTTTGTGTAAAATTTGCAAAATAACTGCCTTCTGGGTGCTTTATAGGGTAGTTCTGATAGTTGAATGGGCAGTTTCTTGTGCTCGGTCGATAGACTGGGAATAGCTAGGCATGAAATTTTCCTCAAATAGGTCTCAAATGGAGGAAATTGCAGTTGCATCTCTCTCCCGGACCTCCAACTTCATGCCTGCACAATTCCCAAAGTTTTAAAAACAACAACAACAAAAAAAATGCATTTTCGGTGTTATTATTTTTGAAAAAAGATTCTCTATCATTTTTTGTTTTTTATTTTGCTCTCAAAAAATTGCTACACTGTAAATCTTGAGCTTACCTTCAGAACTACTTTCTTTAGTGGTAAGGATATTTTTTTTAACACACCAGCCATCTCTCACTGAGGCAGGTTGACCCGAAAAAGAAGAAATGATTTAACCATCACTCACACTATCACTGTCTTGCCAAAGGTATACAAATACTACAGTTCAGATAATCATCCAAACTGTAAATATCCCCACCCGGCCTTCAGAATGTAGGCACTGTACTTTTTACCTCCATGACATTAGTCCAGCTAATCTGTTTTCCCTGAATCCCCTTTATTAACCCCCCAAAAGGTCCCCAAAAGAATATTTTTCCCGGGGGTGGAGTCCCTAAGCGGGCAACCCCCTTTTATTGGGGGGCCCCAAAACCCCACCCGGCCCCGGGCCCCCCCAAGGGGGGCGGGGAAAGGGGGGGCCCTTTTCCAAAAAAGGAAAAGGGGGGGAACCCCCCAAATTTTTTTTTGGCCCTTTTTTTAGAAGGAAAAGCAAAAACCCCCCCCCTTTTTCGGGGCAAAGGGGGGCCCCCCCGGCCGGTCTCCCCTAAAGCCCCAAAATTTCCCTTTTCCCCCCTTCCGGCACCCCCCCCGACCCCCAACCCCCCCTTCCCAAAGAAAAAAACCCCCCCGGGTTTTTTTTTGGTTCCCGACCCCCACCCCCCGGTTTCCCCATTTTCAGGGGGCACCCCCACCCCCGGGCCCCCGGGTTTTAACACCCCCCCCCCGCGGAACCCGCTTCCCCTGCCCCACCCCCCCCAAAATTTGGCCGTTTTTCCCCTAATTACCCGCCGCCCAACCCCTTTCCCCCCCAAAGGCCCTTTCCCCAAGCGCCCCCCTTTTAAAAATTTTTAAGCCCCGCCCCCAAAATCCGGCCCCGGGGCAAACCCGGGGGGCACCCCCCACCCCTTATCCGGGGGACCCTGGGGGGGCCCCGGCACTTGTTGTCCCACCCCGGGGAAAGGTGTAAACCCCCAAAGTTTAGGGTCTGTCGCCGCTACCCACGCAGGCCCTTCGCCCCCATCGCCCAATCACTTTCCCCCAACGCCTGCCTCCCCTCCAGGGGCCCGACTTCCCCTTTTCTAAAAACCCCCCCTGGGCCCCCCAAAAACCCCCTTTCCCTTTTCCCCTGTTGAAAATCTTAAAACCGCCCCCCCAAAAGTTTCAAAAAAACAAAAAATAAGAAAACAAACCCAATCTGGAAAAAGATAAAGAAACAAACCTAAACATTACCTTTATTTGGAGATTCCTTCTTAGTGTATGGGAGACTGGGGGAGGAGGAGAGTGGATTGTTTTATAGTTTGGAAGGGGAATCCCCTTCCACAACACCTCGGTACCTTTTTTGTTTTTCGGGGTTGCTTCTCTTCTCTTTTTTCTTAATGCCACTAGGACCCCCTGGAATCACTGGGGGTCCTGTCTAAACAAAATAACCGTGGAGAAGCTCTTTTTCTGGCGTCTTTTTAAAATTTTTCCCTAAAATGGCCCAAGACTTTGCACTGTACTTTTTCCCAAACCTGGCTTGCAACAACCTTTTTTAGGGTATGTTTCTCCATAAAGTTTTTCCATCTACCCCACATGAAAAACTTTTTAATTTTCTGAAAAGGCCCCTTTCTTCCATCTCTCTTCCTCCCCCTCTGCAGCAAGATTCGAGCTGCAAGTGTTGCTTTTCCTTGAACTCTTGCAGCCCTCAGTGGAGTTCTTCTTTGTGGTCTTCCCACCAATTCTTCCACATCCTCCAAACTCACATCCAACCCCATGGAACTCTCCGTCCCCAAAATTTGATTTTAAACAACAGACATAGGCTCATTGGGTCAGTCCCAAATTCTTCAAAATCCCTTTTGTCGACACAATCTGGCCACAATTTTCTCCAGGCAAAATTTCAAAGTCCTGGCATCACCCCCTCCCAAGCCATACCTAAAAGGGGTTTTACATGGAGGATGCGAAGTGTTCTCGTCCAAAATTCCCCTTAGGGTCAAGTGAGTGCTGTGGCCACAGCCCAAGGGCACCATAAACTTGCTTTTGTGTAATTTTTTTTAAGTTTCAATAACCTGCGGGCCCAGGGGTTGGGGGAGGGGATGATATTCGGGGGGCAAGAACTTTACGTGATGAACCCAAACTCCTTAAAAATTTTAGGTCTCCAATTTGGAGGATGAGCAGGGCTTTGTCCATTACTAGCAACTTGATCCAATTCTTTTCCAGGAGATACTCCTTCACACTAGGGGCCAAACACTTCTTTGAGCCACTCGACAAAAAATTTCCCTCGGACCCACCTTACTTTTAAATTTTCCAAAACACACACAATTTCCCTTTTCATAACATTGTTTTTTCCTGAACATCTGGGATTTTCAGAATGGTCACAGTAAGGCTTCATTTTTGAAATCCCCACAAGCTTTAGAAAAGAACATTAGCGTCACCCTTTCTTTCATAGGCTTGTGTCCTGGCTTTCCCTTTTCCTCTTTTTAATGAAGGTCCTCTTTGGCATTTTTTTCCCAAAAGAGGCCTGTTTCGTCAAAATTAACACTTTTTTTCAGGTTTCAGCCCCTTCACCCATGTCTCCTTGAATTCATCACAATTTTTTTAGCCGCCTTGGGCCCCAACGGGCCCTCACCAGCCTTACCACACGTGTACCAGTAGGGTTTTTAAAATCTCTCAAACCACCTTTTTGCGGCCTTAAATTCACTCACTTCACCACTATTTGCAGGCAATTTCTTTCCCAAATCTTCAAGAAAACTGCAGCTTTT